ATTCTAATTCGCCACCTTAACCTTAAATTGGGATCGTTACCTTGTGAGAACGACATCTTTTTATTTGAGGGAATTACCGTAATATCTTAGGTATGTGATGGCAACTTCTCTTATCGGTTTCTACTCGATGCCTTTTGTACGAGCTTTACGTCCCCATCGAACCAATACTTCTCTGACAGTGATCATCATCAACTGCAGTCTGGTAGTGGTACTAAGTTCAGCTTTACCTGTGCTAGCGAATACTTTGGGTAAATGATCTTTATCCTTTTTTCTCTTTTGCGTTATACATCATACCCATTCAGGGATCACATCCTTTGATCTCCTCGGAGCATACTCGTCTCTGAAATGGCTGAGCAATTTTGAACTGGTGCTGGCATACAATCTGCTATTCGCGGCTGCCACTATAGTCTGCGTTTTTTCCAAGATCACGAGTCCAGTAAGAAAGCAAATTTTGAAGAGGTAAGCTTTTCAATCACTTGTTCAATGTTTTTCACCTATTCCCTCTCTCTTGAGAAGGTAAAGATGAAGGTACAGTGACAAGAGTCGAAAGCTAATCTTCACAATGAAGCCGAGATTTTTGATTATCCCAAATTAAAGGCTTCTTATCCGAATACGACTAAAATTTCCAGGTTGAAAGTGGGACAACAGGATAGCAAATAACTGAAACTTTAACTCTCTTGAATCATAGTTTTCGTTATTTGCTATCCTGTTGTCCCACTTTCAACCTGGGAATTTTTGTCGTGTTCGGATAAGAGCCCTTTATTACATTCTGGGTTATTCAAATCTCGGCTTCACTTTGAAGATTAGCTTTCAGCTCTTGTCACAGTACCGTCATCTTTACCTTCCCCAAGTTCTGACTTCCTTTGTACTTTTCTCCAGCTTTTTCTCGGAAGGTTTTCTTTAGGTTCCGACAAATTCGATGTCGCTGTTCGGTGTCAGTCGATGAGGAAGCCACGGAGAAGATCGAGTAGAGCCGCATCGCATTTCTTAGACTTAGGTGATAATTAGGCACAATTACCTGTAAATATTTGTAGAAAA